GTCACTTGATTTCATTTTTTTTTACACAAATGGCAAAGATCGCTTTTTACAATGTTCGACATACACACAACTTCTATAGTGTCTTAGTGTGTGTGTGCCTTTGTAGTACTGAAACATAGATAGTCTGATTCATATACAAACATACACACACCAGTTTTGAAAGGAATCAAACTTCCTGGTTTTTGATGTGTGTTTTTAAAAGCAAGTGTGTGCAAATTTGCGGGGCTAACGTACAGTATGCGTGTATTTTATGTGTGCGTACAAAGTTGTGTATGTTGAGGGGGGATTGAAATAGCGTAAAGCCCACAGCCAAATTGCTGGTAACCACAGCAGCACAGTGTCATCCCCATCTTCAAACCGCAGCCCAGAATAAAGTCGGAATGCGCTGGTGCCTGCACACTGCAGACCAAGACAGAGCTGTCTATTGGAGGCAGCTTCACCCCTCAACCAAGCTGTCCAGATCTGTTCCAAAACAGGCCCAAATCGCCCCAAACTGTCACAGACCGGCACAAACGGCCCCACAGTGTCCCAAACTGTCACAAGATGGCTCAAATTGTCATGGACTGACCCAAACCATCCCCATCTATATACAAATTGGCCCACAAATGTCCAAAATGTCTCAAACTGTTACAGCAACTGTCCCAGACTCTCCCCTGCTATATCTACACTGCATCAAAACTGCATCAAGCTGTTCAAACAAAACAAACTATATCCTAAACTGTCTCCAAATGTCTGCAGATGGCCTCTAATCCTCCCTAAAAGTAGAGATGTCTATAACTGCACAAAACATTCCCCAACATGTGCCAAAATCTTCCCTGCTCCAAAGTGTATATATGTGTCTCTGTTGTAGCAATGTCCATATTTGCTGCTATTTTTACTGTTAATACTATTACTGCTACTACTACTACTACTACTACTTCAAGCAACTCCATACTTATACATTACATTAAGTATTATAATGATTGACAGTATAACACTTTTTTGAGTTTGACATGTTTTTTTGGGATTGTTTTAGGGCAGTTTGGGTGTAGTTGGACCATTTACTCTTTAAGAAATGGATGATTTGGATGCAGTTAAGAACCATTGAGGCAGCTTTATACCAATACTGAAACAGACCCTACCCTTGCGTACACTTCTACATCACTGTAAAAACCTTTGCCGCTGTTATTACTGCTACTAACATATCATCACTATTGCAATGTCTGTCTTATTTGGAATACTGTTTCTTAATTAGTAACACTACACCAAATAGTGTTTACTATTTTAGATATATCCTTTTGACTATACTATTGCTTCTGGTCCTACTATAAATTTAACAACTGTGACTACCATTGCTAACATTACTGTTACAATTACTCCATACTGTATAATCACACTGTCATCTTCCATTCTGTTGCATTTCCCGGGTGTTGAAGTGTTTTATAAGTGTGATGTGGTGCAGAGTGTTGAGTCTAAACCTCAGGGTTGTCTAAAACTGATAACCCGACTGGTGCGACAAATATAGACCTGACCATGACCGAGAGAAACACAGATACACACCACAACTCTGACCAGGCGATACTACACCTACTATTTACAGAGAGAGACGGAGAGGGAGGAATGTATGAGAGGTCAGCGGTAAGAGAGTGTGTGTGTGTGTGTGTGTGTGTGTGCTGTGATTTTCTTTCGGAGTAAGTTGCTCCAGAGGTGGGCTATTTCCTTACCTGATGTTGATGTAAGACTGAGGTTAAAACACACACACACACACACACAGACCCACACATTCCCCGTGAAATTGTAAGACAGCGTTAAAAAACCAACTCGCCTTAGAAAAACACCTGCCCAATTAAGAGCGAGGCATATCCCATTTCAAACAACTGAGAGAGTATGTGTGTGTGAAGCCACAGGCTGTGCTCTCACCAAAGAGAACAAGATTGGCTTTAGAAAAGGCCAGGATAAATATTAGAGAGGGCTTAGGGTAATCTGCACGCACACACACACACTCACACACACACACACACACACACACACACACACACACACACACACAGATCTAGACGCAGTGGGGGAGATAGAGACACACAGAAATTCTCAGACACCTTAAGGTAGACATGATGGCAGACACGCATGCACTCTCTGTCTCGTACACACACAAACACACACACACAAAACAAAGGGGCAATGTGTTTAGTGTGTGTTCAATGAAAGTACCATGAAACTGGACATAATCCTCGGGGAGGACAGGAAATTAGGAGAAAGGGACAGATGAAAAGAGGAGGGAAGGAATGAAAGATGGAAGGAAAGAGAAGAGAAGGATGATGGGAAGATAAAGAGGCATGAGGAGTATACAGAGGAGGAGAAAGAAGAGGAGAGGGAAAGGGGGAGGGAAAAGGAGGTAAGAGGAAAAGGATGGAGAGGGGGGTGAGGAGCAGAACAGGCAGGGATGAGAAGAAAAGAGGAGACAGAGGGAGGAGAGGAATGAGGAAGAGGGATGAAGAGGAGACAGAGAGGGAGGAGAGGAATGAGGAAAGGGGGGAAGAGGAGGAGACAAGGCGTCCAATTCATCGGCCTCAGGAGCTCCCTAAATCCAGACTGATCCATGGGATTCTCGCAGGGATTTTGACACACACACACACACACAAAATCATACCCTCACACATGCACGTTTACACACACCACACACACACACACACCACACACACACACACACACACACACACACACACACTTACAAACCACGTGTTCAACAATATTATTCCATGATGCATTTTCTCTCCTCTACTACACTTACATGTGCTGGTAAAGTATTGCTGTTTTACTTTTACACACAGAATGAGAAGATGCATGTGTCTGAAATCTTGAAATGTTGACAAACAAATTGGCCTGATGATGATATGCTGATGGAGAAGAACTCAATGCCACATAGTATTTGCAGTCCATTACGCATTAGTGACCCACAATTTCAAAACAACATACAATACAACTTTATTGCCCATCATAGAGGAAATTTGTCTTTGACTACACCTTGGCAGAATACAACATTAAGACATGAAGTGTTGCTGACATGTAAATCATAGGAATTATGATGAAAGTGGTAGCAAGCAAAAAGTGATTTAAAATAAAAATTATAGAACTTGTAGAGACCGCTCAACATTAAATTATATACCAATTAATCAAAGTAACTAGGTTTGTTCACTGCATCCAGTGAAATGTGGTAATATTTTAATTTGAAATTTGTCTGAAAGTATCATCACGATCAACCATACAGTCTGTAAGTGCGATGTGACTGTGACTGAGGAGATAGTCACTGAAAAATTGCTACTTTTCTGAAGAGCTGACATGAGTCAAGGCTGGGAAATAGGACTGTGACATATGTCAAAGAGGTGATTTGCATCATCCTGCAGAGATGCACTTCAAGACGCCATTGGTGTGCAGGCTCACAGTACATAGTAAACAATGGGTGCTGGTGTTTTCACATGTGTCATACAAAAATTAGCATTCACATGGTACTTGTTCTTGAAAAAGGATAGCGGACATACACGTGATTCTGTTAATGCTACATTAGATGTCTGCATAGGCAGGTGTGTTCAGGGCTGCACATTGGTATAGGCAGATCAAAGAATTTACAGTCCCCTCCAAAAGTATTGGAACATGTGACTGACAGATGTTTCTTGTTGCCCAGGTGTTGCCTTTTAGGTTGATTGTCCAAACATTAAATAGCTCTGCATGACTAGTCTAAGTCAAACCTATAAATACTGCATTTCCTGTTAAAGAGGATAAACCAACATAAAGACCAGAGAGATGTCTATGGGAGAAAAGCAAGCCACTGTCAAGCTGAGAAAAGAAGGAAAATCGACCAGAGTCACTGGACAAACATTGGGCATAGCAAGCACAACAATTTGGAACTTCCTGAAAAAGAAAAACTACTGGTGTACTGAGCAACAGACATCCAACAGGTCGGTCAAGGGAAAACAACAGCAGTTGATGACAGAAATATGGTGAGAGCTGTGAAGAAAACCCCCAAAACAGGAAGTGACATCACCAACGAAGGCCGGATCGGGAAATCACAGCCGCAAAAGTTCTGGAACACAATCTTATGGACTGATGAGATTGAGATTAATCTCTAGCAAAGTGATGGAAAGGCCAGAGTGTGGAGAAAGAAAGGAACTGCTTATGATCCGAAGCATACAAGCTCATCTGTGAAGCATGGTGGAGGTGATGTCATGGCTTGGGCGTGCACGGCTGCTTCTGGAACAGGCTCACTAATATTTATTGATGATGGAACTGATGATGGTAGCAGCAGAATGAATTCAGAAGAGGACAGAAACATTTTGTCTGCCTATTTACGGAGAAATGCATTTCACCTCCTTAAGAGGAGACTGAAGGGAGAAACACCCCGAAACAAACAAGAACTGAAAGAAGCTGCGGTAAAAGCCTGGAATAGCATCACAAATGAAGAATGCAACAGTTTGGTGATGTCGATGGGTCGCAGGCTTGAGGCAGTTATTGCAAGCAAGGGTTCTGCCACCTAATATTAAGATTATTTGTTTCCATTACTTTTGCTTACCTAAGAATGCTGTGGTCTAATACAAACATTGGTATGTCCTAAGTTGTTTAACACATCTAGATGTGAATACCAGGAAATGAGAGCTGAAATTCTGAACTCTTGTCTCAGACTCATCTTTTGATCTTAAACCCAAATGTCTTCAGTGAACAACAAAAACAAAGGAATTTCCCTTACCTTTCCAATACTTTTGGAGGAGACTGTATATCATGAAAATATGCAGATTCAGACAGAATAAATTCAGCTTCACAGTACTCACAAAAACTATTCTTAAGGAGTTTTGAATGGCACTGCAAGTTTGTTAGTTCAAATCTCATAACTGTTATCCTGAAATTGGGACAGGGAATGAAAAACATTCACTATAAATTTGAAGCATTTTCTAAAATATAGTTGTACTTATTCAGATGCTGCATATATATATCATTTGGCTGATGTGTTCCCTCTACCTGTCACTTAGGAGGTGTTGAGCCCATTGCAGAGGTTGCTGGTGACGGGGAAGAGCAGGAACTTCCACATGAGGCGACCAAGTTCATCAAGAAGAAACAGCCATCTAAGAAAGTCAAGAAAGGTAGGCGCACAAACTCCGCCAATCCTCCTCATCATGGAACTCCTCTACTTACTAATTACTTTAATCTCCACTTTATTTTAGTCTTTACTCACTCACTAAATCTGCTCCCCTTCCCTTTAGTTCTCTTTTCCCAACACTCACACACCTAATGTACACCTCTGCTGCAAACACGTCAGCGCCTGTCAGGGATGTACTGGGATTTAAATTCAGCCCAGGACTATGAGACAGGACTTTTTGCAGTTATTTTAATACTAATAGTGTATATGTGGTACAAAGAGAATCAGATTATGCTGAAGACCTTCAAGAAACTTTAGGATGAAACCTTTCTCCTCACTTTGCATTAGCAAGTCACCACTACACTGAACAAGACCAGAAGAGGCAAGCCTGAGCTGGAACACTTAAGTCACAGTATACTGCGAACTAACAACATGTACACTAACAACTGTACACATGTCATGAAAACAGTACCAGTAGTTTTTTTTTCTGGTTCCATTCTTATTTTTTTTTCCTCTTTCTTTTTTTTTCACCATTTTTTCGTGGCCAGCCTGGTCACAGATCATAAAGGAAGACATTAGAAATTAAAAACTTAAACTCTTTGACCACATGCTGGTTTGGCCTGGAATGGACCTGCCATTCAGGAGTCTTCCCGAACTTCCGCCCGTCCAAGTGAAGTCTATGTGTGGAAACACTGTCATCGTGTCTCCTTCCCTTCTTTGTGTCTTTATTTGGAGCTGAATGCTCTCCAGCACAGACTTGTCAGTGGTTGTGCTTCACCTTGTCACGTTTCCAAACGACCCGTGTCAAAATATATCACTCCAATAGTACATCTGCAGCATTGCTCCCAGCTTGCCACTAAATCCTGACCAGAGCCCAGACACTGATATCTGTTCATTGTCTGTCACACTGCTGTAATCCATCCCTATTTTCCCTCATGGCATAGTGCTCTGCCTCATCTGTTATTTGTACATACCACTTTGACTGCCATTGGATCGTGGTCTGCAGAATCAGCATGGTCTGGATTCCAGTCAGTGCCAAAAGATGAAATCAAACAATAAATTTGGTTTTGCAGATGATGTTTCTGTGTTTCTAAATGTTTAGCTTGTTTTTCCCACAATGTTGTCTTGTACTGTTTTTCTTGCTGTACAAGCAAAGTCTTAATTTGATGGCCATCACCAAATCCCAGCTGGCCTTGCCTTCAGCAAATTGTACTAAAACGTAAAACAAAATGCAGTTGAGAACAGTGCCTGTGGACTGTCAGGTGGGGTTGTGAGTCCTAATTTTTTAAAGGAGACACCAGATTATTGTCACAGTCTTTAACCTCCCCAGGGAATATACCAAGATGAACTCTAACAGGACCTTTGCTTCCAGCAGCTTTCATTGACTATGCTCTTTACCCTTGCTAAAATAATGGCGACGTCATGATGCCCATCCAGTCAACATGTGTTTTGTTGCCCAGGAGAGGACTTAGAACTTGTTGTATCTTGTGGGAGGCACTGCAGGAATATGAGATGCCAACTTGTCAGCAGTGTGTTATTATCAACAATGAGTGCGTTCTTGTTATTTTGGGCTTAAGCAGAAATGTGCCTTTTCACCTTATTTCTGATGATGTTGTTCTGTTGGCTTCATCAGTCAGTGTGTGTGAACCAGTCACCAGTCGTTATGTGTGAACTACTCAACGACACATCAAAATGGCTACCTGACACATTTCTGACACATCGCCGCTGATTTACATCACATATAGTGAGCGCTCTAGACTAGACTAGAGACCAAAAAAAACCCTGGATAAAATGGGTCTCCTTTACACGGTGCCAGAACTCACCCTCAGACAAAGTGAGGAGCTCAGACATCTAGGAGGATCTCAGAGTATAGTCACCACTCCTTTGCTCTGAATGTTGATGTTGTTTGGGCGTCTAGTCACTTTCCTTTCGAGGAATGCTGGGTGTGCCCAACTGGGAGGATACTTCAGGGCTAACCCAGAAAACCCCTGAAAGATTACATAGATTACCCCCAGGAGGCTGAGGGATGTGGCTGGAGAAAATGACATCTGAGCTACCTTGTTTAGCCTGCTGCCACTGTACTAAGACCAGCTAAGCAATGGAAAGCAAGAGGGCTTGTATTTACTTCCATTATCTTACTATATGTATGGCAAGCCTGTAATAACCAAGGGAGGTTTTTACCTTTTTATTCTTATATACATGATATACTATTTTATTTTCAGTACACATGTTTATAACATTGTAAAAGAATATCCATAATGCCCTTTAAGACTTCTTCACTGCTGTCCTATGTGCTTTATATGTTGTAGCCATAAGTACAGTGAAGAGCATCCTTTTTATTATAACACTGTTATTGCTTTAGACAATGTTTTCCGGGGCTGTGAAAAGAGATCTGGGAGTGAGTCCGGCGTTGCTGGCCTACTGTTGCCAGGTCTACACTCACTGTTTTCTCTGTTTGGGAAGTTGGACCACTCTCTCATCCTCTACTCAGTGTCTGCTGTCTCTCCTTCTCACTTTCTCTTCTCTTTACGTTTTCATCCATCTGGTTCTGCTCTAAGCTCTTAGTTCCTTCTTACCATCTGTCTGAGAGATGTAGCAGATCAAAAGAGGAGTTATCTTGTCATTTAGCAGAAGTGTGTGATTGTATTTTATTTTCCTAATTAAGTAGATTGACTCGTCAATATATTTCTCCTTTTTCACCCTTCCTTTCTTCCCTCTGGTCCTGTTTTGTTTTTGTTATCCTATTGAATTACTAAATTGATTAGTTTCATCTGAGATACGATAAGCAGATCACTCTAACACACACACACACACACACACCAGTCTCCTGCCAGAAAAAGGCTTCTGGTTTGCATTGAGGACAAATCCGTGTTTTATGACAGTTTGTCTTTCCTAAACCCGGGCGGACGGATTTGCTTTGATGGGCTCTGCTTTCGTGTGTGTGTGTGTGTGTGTGTGTGTGTGTGTGTGTGTGTGTGTGTTTTCTGTGTTTTTCTGTGTGTGCGCTTACACGCACGTGGTTAATCCACTCAGGCGTCACCACTAATGAGAAAGGGAGGTGTGGGAGACACAGAGAGGGCGACAGTGGGATCATTATATATACACACACGTACGTATACATTCCCGTGATTGTGTCGGACGTTCTGCACATACAAACACACACACACAGACAGGAATATTAAATCTTTAACAAGCTTTTGTAACAGAAGAATAAGTCTTTTAGTCCTCATCACTGCTCACATCATGACAAATCTGAGCGAAACAAATCAAACATCTGCTGCTTATTTTTTTATTCATTATTTCTTTAGTTTCACTAAATGAATTGATCATTTTCACCATAAATTGTCAATATCAATGATTGACAACCATTGCAAGTTAACAGATCGTTTTTACCAACAACAAAAACAAAACAGAAAGGGGCATTCAGTTATAGGAAACAGAAAAGCAAGCGAATCCAAATTTGTGAAGCTGAAACCACAAAACATTAAGTGTTAGTACTTCATAAATATTTAGATTCCCTTTAAATCCTGTTGTTTCTTGTAATGAGCGGGATCTTTAGTTCTTGTTTGGTGTGGGCGTTCCACCCTCTGTCACCAAAATCTCTAAACGCTTTAGTTGATAACTATAACAACGTGTTACAAATGAAATGTCAAAACACATCAGTGCATTGTAAAGTGCTGCAATATGTTAAACCAAACCAAAGGTGCATCAGTTGGTCACATAGAAATCAAACATAACTCATTTAATGTCATGTCATAAAAAATCTATTATATGAGATTTATTATGAGTCTATCGGATGATTCTGGTTTAATATCAAAGTGGAGATTTAATAGTGTTTTACTTTTGTGTATTTCTGTCTTATACACACCCACACACACACACACACACACACACACACACACACACGTTTCACTCTTACCTTTCAGTTCTGCCCTCCAGACATGATCATGACGTGAAAAAAGCCAAAGCAAAATGATCCCTAATTAGTATTGTATGTCATGGAAACCTCCAGAGCAAGTCTGTGGTTTCCACTTAAAATGAGAGGAGGAAGGAGGGACAGACGTAACAGGGGAAGTCATTTGGTAACAAGGGGAGGGTCAGAAGGTAGCATCATGTCCAGACTTGTCCTGTAACTTGTCCCACTTCTCCTCCTCAACAGACAGAACGACACAGAGAGAAAACAAACAGTGGTAACATGTAAAACCATTGTAAATAATAATGTGATGTTGGTATTGCTCTAGGACACTTCAACTGGGAGGGTGCTTCCCAGTTTTAACATCTTAACTCGGGACGTCCCATACGATACTGTGCTTCATTCCAGAAACCTTGGTGGTTTTACAGCTGGGGGCTGTGTTGGTGCAGGTGTTTTGTCCAAGGTGCTGGTGAGACGATCAAACACAATCCAAGGTGTCCAGGTGGAGTAACAGAATAATGTATTTAAAGGCTTATAATGTATTTAAGGCTTATTTGTGTGCGGCCCGCCACAATGACAGCACTGACCGCCATATATTGATTTTTGATATAATGATTTAGCAACCATGTAAGGAGCCTGGCTAATAAGGATAGTAATGTTAATGTTAGAATACAGCTGGGTTGTTAGAAAACTGTACATAGCCCCCCTTGTTTGCCTGCACAAAATAACAGCGAATATATTATGTAAACATATGAAAACCCTATCAAATGTGCATTAAAAAGTTATAAAGTATGACCCCATGCACAATTTACATAAATACATTACAATAGAGGAGTCTTGTAGTCTTGTCTGCAGTGTTTCTCCTGTTGAAACACTTCTGCAACCAATTCAACAACGATTTTAATGAACAAGATATGTTGGTTGGGTGACTATACAACATAACATGCACACATGTGCAATGAGCAAATAGAGTCTGCAAACACATGACGTATACAGCAACAGAACAACATGTAGTGTTTATACAAGAAGAGGCAGCACTGAGAGCTTCAGTTTACAAGGCGTTAGCAAGTTAGACAGACAAACCATGACAT